GCAGTCCGGGCCGCGCGCCCCGGGCCGGGCCGAGCGGCGGCTGGAGGCGCTGACGCTGGAGCTGGAGAAGGAGCTGGAGATGCACATGAAGAAGGAGTACTTCGGTGAGTGGAGCCCGGCCCGGCCCGGCCCGGGGGGCTGCGGGGGTCGGTCGCGTGTGGCTGGGCGAGCTCCTACCTGAACCTGGTCTTGCCTCTCGCTGACTTCCTGCCCTTTGACATCCTGACTTGATGGTCTTCCCTTCCAGCCCGAATGTCTATGAAATCTATCAGACGTACGCACAAACAAACAAAAAACTATTACCCGTGGTTCCAAAAATGATATCTTTTATGAGACCGGCTGGGAAATGAAATTTAGGAAACTTTCAGGGGCCCCTGGAGTTGGGAGGCACCGGTCGCCCATGCCTGAGAGCTCCCTCCCCCTTCTGCCAGGGCTCCTTGCTGCCACCTCGCTGGCTTCTCATGGCACTCCCCCCCCCTGCTTAATGATGCTAGGTCTGAAAAATGTCACCTCTTTCCCCCCACTATTGTTCTGCCGCAATCCCCGTCCTGGTTTGACTTGGTTTTGTTGGGGGGGGGGGGGGGGTTTCCTCTCCTCTGTTCGTCCCTTCTTCAGCAGTTTGTCATTTAGCCTTGGGTTTTGGCTGGCTCCTGTGCTGGGCATTGCAGAGGCACCTGTTTGTGCTTCCGTGGCTGTTTAATTGCTTTTCTTAGGTCTGTCAGAGTTTCCATTGTAAACCTCACGTTTTGGGGCGTCCAGATGTATCGGTGTGCTTTGCTTTGGAGCTTCCCGTACAAGTTATCAGGCCAGCCGTAGGGATTTTATTCCCTGTAGATACGGGCCAAACCGGTAAAGCTGTTTTTAGGTGCTGGGTTCAATACCATCTTTGTCCTGCTTCAACAGGAGAGGCTTCTCACACGAGCATGGGGCATGTATTGTTTCTGGCCTGCAAGGCCTGGCTTGCCTTTGCACAGCAGGCAAGTCTGACAGTTTTGATTTGTCCCTGGAAAGTGAGAAGTGATGATTGTGGGTGATGTGATGAGAGGAGCCAGTCCTGCCACTGCAGAAGCCAAAGTGAGCTTGCTTTGCATATCTTCTCTTTTCCTTTCTTTCTTTGTTTCTGTTTTATAGAACAATTAGGGCTCCTTGAAATAAATGAATGAATCTTCCAGTTACTCTGCAGCATAGATTAAGCCCATTTGGTATTTTTTTAAATGAATGGAAATTGCCAAGACATTTGCATTTGAAAGGCAGCCACAGTGTGTGCAAATACTGCCCCATTCTCCACAGGTGCTGGGGCTCTGGCGCAGCCAGGCTGGTGCTGGGAGGAGAAGGGGGAGTTTGGGAGCCCTTGTTGGCAACACGCATCGCCTGCATCTACTCCTGATCTAAGTTCTGCTGTGAGGGCTCCCTGCTCACTTGGAAAGGAGGTAGGGCAAGCAAGTGAATGCACTGATCTGCCTACTGGCCATTGTTCTTGGGGAACCGAGATGCTGTGGAGGAGAGAGTTTCCCCTCTCCGTGCCCAGGCTGGATGCTGCGGAGAGGGAGGCTTTATCTCTTAGACACATTCTTTTAGCTGTTCTACATGTCCTGGAGAATGGGGATCCATAATCTGTATTGCCTTAAAGGATTTAAAAAGACAAGACCCTGCATGCTTTGGGTAGCGTATTGACACACACTAAAGCAGGGGAGTTGTTAGGAGTTGTTCATTCCTGCCCACAGAGGTGCCATTGCCCTGTGCAGTGGCACAGAGAGACGGGCTGCAGGAGGTGGGAGAGCATCCCAGAGCAAGAACGAGGACCTGGGAAAGAAGAAGCAAGGACCTGGCTTGTGGAGCTGTTTTACCTGCTTGTAAATTGAATGCTTTTTTGAACTGAAATGGGGAGTTGCACGTGGGAGAAACAAGTCAGCGAGCACCCTGAGCACTAAGAGGAGCCAGAGCACTAAGAGGAGCACGTGGAAGGCAGAGCTGGGTGAAAGAGCAGAGCACTGTCCCCTGCATCCCCTACACTGTCCCCATAGTACATGGCCAGAGGTGGTGAGGGGCTACCACAGTCTAAACAAATAATAATTCTTAATCCTTGAAAATCCCTAGAAGCTGAATGATGCTATTAGTGAATGGGCTAGGTTGGGTAACATTTGTCTTGAAAATCTGAATTGATTTCAGTGAAGTCTGAATGTTAAGATGCAGTTGGAACAGAAGAACACAAAGGTGCCTTTAAAAGAGGAGCCTTGTGAGCAGTGGCCTGGGGGTGATTCGGAGAAGATGGGTGCTCCAAAGGGAGACCATAGCGGGGGTGGGGGAAGAAGAGTGTGCTGTTGAATGTATAGAAATGTGTTTATTGCAAGGGTCCCTAGGAGCAGGTAGATCCAATGGCAACATGTTGAAACATGCCCTAACCATTAGAAGACCAGGCTTTGTCAAAGCAGTGGGAGTGTGTGCTGCTTCCGTTGCTTAGACAGGCAGGCGTAGAGCAAGTTCACAACAGCACCGCAGCAGTCCTTTGCTATTGCAATGCCACCTAGATGCCTCCGGTAACAAGGTCAAACACCCTAGGGCTGAATCTGTTGCTGACAGTACCAGTGTTCTGCTGCCTGCTTCTTTTTTGGTTTTCAGTAAGTTGCACTACTTTTAAGAGGTATTTCTGTGCTTGAGCCTGATGTTCGGAGTTGAACTCTACACGAGGTGAATAATGAATTTTCCTGAGGACTTCTGGCTTGGGACCAGTGTGAGTGAAAAACAATACAAGTAGGAGCTGCACATAGTTCAGAATGATGGGGTCAGAGCTGTCTATTGCTAGATACAGAAACCACTTACATAGATACTTTTTAGATTGTCTTTGGAAGTCTTGGACAGCAGTCCCTGAAGCAATAAAAAGGCACTTCTGAAGTTGTGTAATAGCAAGGCCTGGCATATTCCCCTGTAACAAACTTGTCCTGGCTGTCCACTCCCTTCTTACCTTAACCCTGTAAGGAGCCCTCTTAGCGGGTATCACATGAATTGAGAGGCCCTCAAACACCTGTAATACTAGGCATGTGCTAACTTTGACAAGTAGAAAATGAAAGTAGACTAATCCTCATAGTCTTACCAAGTGCAGTGAACAGGGTAACTGGTTTAATGCTCCTTATCTGGATGGCCTAAGTATCAAGTACTTAATGTGTACCTTGGGATAAATGCAACAGCTCTCACAACTGCAGTTCAAATTCAGTGCTTGTATACAGGGTGACATTTAATCAGAATAGCCACATTTAGTTTACCTTACAGGACCTTGCATCTACACATACCACCCCCCTCCCTTTTTTACTGCATTACTTGGTATCTTAAGCCATAGTGAATCATCCTCCTTGGAAATGTGTGAATGCATCTCTGTTATGCTGGCAGTCTTTCCTCTGAGACTCTACAGTATATGGCATCTCACCTGGATCTATCCCCATCTGTATACTTGTGTGCTCTCCACTGCTCTGGACACTGCCTCTGAAAGGACCACTCTGGAAGGAGGTATCAGATTAGTCCAGAGGCCTTTAAATGCCTACTGCGCTTAAATGTATTCTAATTGCACAAGTACAGAATGAAAGCTGTCATCCTGATGGTACACTATATAACCTTGACAGTAGAAACTGTTTAGATGCCAAGTTCATACCAGATGTTCTTTGCAATCAGTGGGTGCATCCCCGTGAGCGTGCACATGCGTTTCCCCAGGGATGGCTAGCAGCAGCACATAGTTGTGTCACTGCTAGCTGTCCCTAGGGAATGCACACGCACTCTGAATGGGTAGGAGAGGCTGGGCCAGCACCTGGGCTAGCCCCAGCAGCCTTTCCCAGGGACCTTCTGGGGCTGCAGCAGTGGTGAACCAGGCATGTGGAGCCTGACCAGGCTCCGGTTTATAGTGGTGCATAGGTATCTAATTTTGCCTCTGAACAACTATGCTGTGCAGAGAGCCTGTTCACATGCACCGTATGCATTTTGTGGCACCTCAAAAGCCTTTGTGATGTTGCAAAGTGCATGTTCCTACTCATGGGGATGTAGCCAGTCCATTTTCCCTTGCCATTCCTCACCTGCTCAACAATCTCCATGGATGTCACCTCCACTCCATACGTCCACCCATCAAAAAATATTCCATCTCCAGTAATTTTGGAGGGGACCCAGGTGAAGGAAATGATGGAAAATTATTTTACCATCTTGAAGAGAAGATGCTAGCTCCATGCTAAATTGGTAGTGGGGCAGGGAATATGGGAAAGCAACACTGTCATTGTTTGCTTGAAGAGTGGGACAGGTAGAACTTGTACTTTTGCTGATTTCCCTTGGCACCTGTAACACCAAGGTCCATGCATAAAAGGGCCTTATTGTCTACTGGCAACCTCAAAAGATAAAACAAACAAAAAATAAAAGAAGCAACAAAATGATCAAAGAATTAGTGACTGAATAGCAACAAAAATCTCACAGGGGGAGGAGTATGGAGGAATGGTTTTCTGGAGTAGTCTCAAAGTCTTGAAATGGAGAGCTAGGCCTCGGAAAGGGAACACACGTCCTTGAAAGTGGTGCAAGGCAGATGCTACTATGGTAAACAACTGATGGAGCCCCTTGTGCTACCGTATCAATCACAGGATACTTCCACACCCTTCCACTCAAACTTTAGGGTCTCTCCCTTCCAGTCTAGCATTTGACTGTGGCCTATCAATTAACTGAATTTCGGTCCATTCCCCAGCAACATACCCACGCTGGAGAACAGCAACTTCCAGTGTTTTGCTTCTAGTACTTTGTGGATACTTGGTTCCCCAAGCCTTTCACAGTCCTGCACAATTTGCAGGATATCCTGGTTTGGTTGTTTGTTTGTTTAATTCAGCAGTGCTGTTTGTTAATTATGTTATCAATAAAGTCAACAGCTCTTTTGGTACAACTCTCTGAAAAGCAGTATTAAGGGACCACTAACAAAACGGTTACTAAGAGAATAAGCGCGCACTTTTCAGTCCTCTTCTGTGACTATACAACTACCCTCAGTCATCACCCTGCGCCAACCTAACCTTGTGTCCTTGACCCTTTTTAGGACATTCTTTCAAGGCACCATTTTGGCTGTCTGTAATGCGTGAACACAGAAAATGTG